GCGGACTCCCCTCGGCCTCGAGTCCCGGGACCCCCACGCCCCCTGTGGCCGGGCCGGGAGGAGCGTTTGGAGACGGGTGGCGAGGAGAGCTCGACTTGCTGCTCCGTGACCGAGGTGAGCGCGCGGGGAACGCCCGGTGTGGGGCGCCCGGTGCCCGGTGCGGGGAGGGTTTTGGGGCGACAGGACTGTGGAGCCGCAAATGCGCCCCGCGGGCTCCGAAGCTTGGTCCCCAGCAGCCGCCTGTCCCGCCGCCCGCGCAGCTGGGGTTCCCGGCCGCCCCGCGGGGTGGGGGCTCTAGAGCCCGGCAGGTAGGAGGGGCCCTGCCTGCGCCAGATCCCGCGTCGGGCGCCGGGGGCTGCGTCCCTGCCCAGGTCCCCGTGCACCCGAGGCTGAGATGCCGCCAGGCGGGCAGGTCCTTGTCCTGGGCGCGGGACTTGCAGAGGGAAAAGCCCGGGGCCAGTGTTGTCTCCGGGTGTGGGCGAGGTGGGGCCTCTCCTTGGGAAGCATTTCCACGTTTTAGGCCTGAAATAACCCTCGTAGGGTAAGAAGATACCCCAGGTGTGCACCCCAGAGTCTTCACAGGTGCGTAGGCCGGTGCACCCGCCTCCCGGCCCCAGCGGCACGTCGCCACCCCCGGAGGGCTCTCCGGTGCCGCTCCCAGGGGACACCCCCAGGTGGCCTGGCAGAGCCGATTTTGGCTTCCCCCAGGCTCATCTGGACAGAAGCACGGGCGTCCCCTTTTGCCTGGTTTCTATGGCTGGACACAGCGTGTGGGGGTTTCCGGCTGTTGGCTGCTGTGCCCGCCCCCGCGGTGAGCCCCTCCCTCTGCAAACCCCTTGGGGGGGGCACTGAGCCCTCCCGTGGGCGGGGTGCCTGATCTGCATTTAAAAAAAAAAATCTTTATTGATTTCAGAGAGAGGAAGGGAGAGGGGGAGAGAGAAACATCGATGATGAGAGTCATGGACCGGCTGCCTGCTGCACGCCCCCCACTGGGATCCAGCGGCAACCCGGGCCTGTGCCCCCACCGGGGATGGACCGCGACCCCTGGATCCTAGGCCGCCCCCCGCGGAGCCCCGCCGCCTGACCGCATTTCTGACGGGTGTCTTGTCCCGCAGGTGCCTCCGAGTGCGGCGCGAGGGGCGGAGATGGCCCCGAGCGCCCCGCCC